CAGGGGGGTTGGACTAGATGACCCACAGAGGTCCCTTCCAACCCCTACTATTCTGTGATTCTGTGATTCTGTGATCTTGGGTTAGGGCAAGCAGACTTTTTACATCAAGAATTCCCTCTCGACAGAGACCCCAGGAGAGTGGTGCAGGCACTTGTCCTGATGGGAACAAGACAAGGATGTTACCATAAAACATAAGAGAGGCTTTAAGTAGAGCGTAGTATCACCTAAACTAGAGGACAGCAGTGATTTCTTTCCCTGCTCTTAACCTTTTATTGCTCTTTTAGCTCTTTTTTTTCCCCAGTCCACTCTTCTCCATGTGGAGGTAATCACAAAGAAAAGCGTGTCCTCGACACTTTCCTTCTTCCCAAAGGTGCTTTATCATTCTCAGTTAACCAAGAGCCAGAGTTAGGCTACATGTTGACTTACTCACGCTCCTCTCTACCTCCTTTGCTCTCTCTCTCCCTCATTCAGCAGCTAGGGAAATGTAAGCAGCTCCTGCTACTCCCAGGATGGTTCATTTCCTTGCAATTTCTCACAAGATGCCTCTGCTCGCTTTACTGGAGAACTCCCAGACATGCATGAAGGCGCTTCTTGCAGTCAGGTAGGTGATGCCTTACCTCCTCCATCATCTGATGCCTCCAGGCTCTGCTGTCTGAGACGATGGCTGCAGCAAAACACAAGGAAGAAAGAATTTCAATTGCAAGCCCAGAACAACATCTTGTTGTGTCCCCTTCCTCCCCACAAACCTCACGGCCTGTCAAGGGGAGAGTTCTCAGGTACACTTGGCCTGCAGACTGACCTTATTCCATAGCCCTCATTGATGGACTCAGCAGAAATCTCAGCTTAGAGCACTTAAGCAAGATGCCTTGTACCTGAGACAAAGTCCTAGGCTGCAGACAGTAGGGCCTGGGGTGGGTCTGGAAGGAAAGCAGATGTTTTCTGCTTTTCCTTCTTTCTGTCTGAACGTCTTTTCCGTCTGAACATGAGGAAGAACTTCTTCCCTCTGAGGGTGACGGAGCACTGGAACAGGCTGCCCAGGGAGGTTGTGGAGTCTCCTTCTCTGGAGATATTCAAGACCCGCCTGGACAAGGTCCTGTGCAGCCTGCTGTAGGTGACCCTGCTTCGGCAGGGGGGTTGGACTAGATGACCCACAGAGGTCCCTTCCAACCCCTACTATTCTGTGATTCTGTGATTCTGTGATTCTGTCATATGGGAGTGACAGAGCCATCGCCTACTCCATATCCACGGAACTATAGAGTGACCAGCCTTGCCCCATCCCAGGACACATGACATGAATTCATGCCAGGCTCTGCACCCTTCCCAAGTTCCAGATCTGGTGTACTGGTGCTTAGAGTCACATGTCCCTTCTCCATGAGATCAGATGTAAAAGTTGTGGACGAAGTCTCAGGAACAATGGGAACTTACTCTTCTACTTCTTCTGCATGCTTTCTTCCTGACCTGCAAGACAAGGAAAGGCTTATGCTTAGAAAAGGCTTAGAGAAAATTTAAAAACTGCACCTTTCCCTGTATCACTGCCGTTGTGCAAAACAGTTCCTACAGCAGGTAGGGTAACACATCACACCTTTAAAGAGTTCTGAGTGACCATTAAACAAGTGTATCAAAAAGTCCCTGAGTGCATCAGACTGAAGCAGAACTATTTGGGTCCAAAAAGACAGCTATGCCCAGATACAGCAAGACCCATTCTCCCTGTTTTTTTAGCTTCTCAGATACTTTTTCATCCCCTCTGCCACCAGCTGCAGGTAAAGCTTGTCTTACCTGAGTAGAAAGGTCGGCACATTAAGGAGTGAAGAAGATGCTATACTTTGTCTACCTACCCCTGAGAGATCAACAGGTCCTTTCTCCCCCTGGTTGTGCATAAAGATTATCTGGTTACCTTTATAGGTTAGGAGTCTCACCTGAGCTGGCCAAGTTCAGGTCAGACATGCTGTCGCTGCAGTAAATCAGGGTTGAACTGGCTGAGTTAACAGTTCATAATAATAACGCAGGGGGGAGGCACTGGCAAACGGCAGCTCCCTTGCTCTCCACCCCAGCAAGCCCAGAAGTAATTCAGTCCCGATTAGGGACGCTTGTTCAATATTCAAAATGTAAAACATGGAGGTTGCTGAACCAGCACTTTGAAAAGTTAATTAAATGCCAGGTTTCTTTTTAGCAGATACTCCATCACTCGCTGATTGCTTTGGCCATTGTGCAGAGTGAAGTTTCATCTCTATGCACTGGGAATAAATATTCTCCCCTTCCTTGAAGTCAGGGTGCCACGACAACGAACACTTGGGGCTCTCCCCTACCACATGGACTGTCCCACGACGCACCAGGATGTAAGAAAAGTTGCTTCATTGCCTTGCACTGCTCCTTTCAAAGCACTTCCATGAGATTGCACAGGCGTCTCCTGATCCATTCTCTGTTCCAGCAGGTTATGGTCCTCATCTAGCTTTCCTGTGAATCCTCTACTAAGAGCAGGGAGCAGGGCACAGAAGATGTTTAGCTATGAGGAGAAGAAAGACCCTTCTCTCCACTGTTCTCCCTGGAGCTGCAGTCTGTGAGAAGCTAAAGATTACACTGAATCAGTGATCTGAGCCCAGTAATATCCACTGCTATAATCAGAACTGCAGCTGTGTAGGTGACATCTGCATCTGGGCTTTCAGCTTATCTGCACCCTTTTGTTCATCAGAAGAAGCCGAAGTGAAATGGAGCTAGGGAATTTAGAAAAGAGCTCTTCCAGTGAGGAGTAATTGTCCAGCTCCAACCTTCTCCCCAGTGGTAGTGTAAAGCACTTTTTGTGAACTCCCTGATACTACGGAGAAAGAAAGGGATGGCTTCAGCGAGCCCACCATTGGCTTTTACAGGAGTTTAGCATCTGAGAAGACAGAGGGAAAGATGATGCAAGATTTATCCAATTTTATCCCTCCCTTCTGCCGTCACAGAACTGCTTTCCACACCCTGTCTTCAGAGCTTTGCCCTCACTGACCTGAAACATCCTAAATGATTGCTTTGGACAGCCTTGCACAGCGAGATGATTTCCTGGAGGTTCAATCTAACCTCTTCTTAGCATGATCCCGTTACTCTTGACAATTGTCCAGCTCCAAATAACACTCTGTTCCTCAGTACTCACACTACTTACATCTTTGCTCACCTCCTGTCCCCAGGCAGGAGTGAAACACTCCACATGTTTATACTTCCCAGGAGAGGGTCACTCCTGCTATCCCTGCAAGCAATTTCTGTTCCTTTTTCCTGAGCTCCCTGTGATGACAGATATCCAGGTGGCCCACAGGGAAGGCAGTCAGATGTTACTCCTAGAGGCACTTCACTCATGTTCTGAGACTTAAAGCTTTCTCAGCTTTTCCTTGTAATGTTAGGAAAGGACTTATTCAGGGCAATAAGCAAATACTTCATTATGAAATAGCTGCACTACATTGGAAAAAATAGTAATCTGGAGAACAAATTCATAAACCAGGAGGGTACAATAGTACTGGCCCCTTTAAACCCAGAGCCCAGGTGTTGGAAACACTCTGCTGTCAAACAAGACAGCTCCCTCCTCTCTCTAGGGCAAGACAAAGCCCCATGGACAGCCCCTCAAGGAGAACACCCAGTCCCTCTGCCACAGGATCCAAAGGAGGCAGTGGGTGATGCCAGCCTCTGATGCTGACAGTACTGTGCTTTATACACAACATTTAAATACCAACGGCACTAGAGCAGGAGCTAGAAATGACTGTTCTTCTGTTTAGGTGAGACATGTGATTCCAGTCACCTGTACTAGAGATGTTTGTTAATGTATGATTTGGAATAGCATTATTCGATGAAAATGGCATTTCAAACCAGCTGATAAGCTCATAGGTAGAGAACTATCCCAGAAATATGGTATGAAACTTCTGGAGCACAGGAAGGAATCGCGTGTTTTACACTCTCTGTAGCCTTAATGATTGAGCCGTTAGCTAAAGAAGATACCAATCAGCCTACTATTACTTTCCTTTAAAATAAATTCACAAAATATTTTTGGTTTGTTTCCTGACTAATCTTTTGCTTTTTTGGCCCAATTGCATTACCTAAATCTTCCAAACAAAGTGACCCTGAAAGAAAAGACAAGCTTTGCCTTGTGTCCTAAGCTTAAAAACCTTCAAGGCAGTAAGGGAAGTCATTAACAGATCCTCAAAAGGTGCCCTAGCTCCAACCCTGTCCATTCCAGAAGCTTAGCCTGGAGGACTAAGCTATACCTGGAGATACTGTTCCTGCAGAGCCAGTCACCTGCTTGCCTCTGCTCTCCAGGTGCTATGGGAAGCCCCGCAGGTATTCTTCATGAAGTTACCACACTGCTTTAAGCATCGTGGAGTACCCCTTCCCAAGAACTGGCTCAGCTTATCAATGCCAATTGCAACATGTTGAGACCAACATTTCACCCTTCAGGGATATGAGGCCTGGGTAGACAGCACCCTCTTCATTCAGCACATGGGCACAGCTTTCTAGTGGCGAATGCAAGCAAACATGGAAGAAATCAGACTGTAAATTCAAGCCAGCATAGCCAGATTTCCTGCTCTTTTCTTATATTCTTAGCAACAAGCAGTGCACTGCCCTGGTTTGTTTGCTCCAGCCGGCACAGCCCCAGGGAGGGCAGCAACAAGCACCTATGAAATGAGCAATTGTCTATGAACTACAGATACACCCACTCGAGTAAGGGCAAACAAAACAATACAGTCCTGGGAGCAGTGCTCAGAAATGCATTCAGTCGGTTGTCTTACACACCAGCCACCCCCAGTTCGTGTGAGACAGCAATACTTCTGTTTGTTTTGTTTCTTCTGGTAAGCCCATTGCATCTGGAGGGCCAAAGAACACGGACCAACTCCATCACCCGGACAGCTCTGTTTAAAGTCCCTTTCGCTGCACAGCTGTCTGTGCTCCCAAACACAACCAAAAGCCCAAAATATGCCCTCTGGCTTTGGCCAGCTGCTGACCCCACCTCTATTTCAGGGTGTTGAACAGCAGAGATGTTGGGCAGAAGACCCCAACAGACCCGGTGTAATCCCATGCCATGTAACTCCTAGCACAGATTGCCTGTTTCTCTCCTTGCTGCGTCCTGGGGCAGAGGATACAGACCTGGTCTCACTTCTGAGTGTTGTCTCTGCTCGCTTCTGGCCAGCAAGAATCCTCCCTCCACATCAATGAGAGGGGGTTAACCCTCAAAACCGAGGCTTTTCCCCCCACACACCCCTAACATACAGCTGAGCTGCCTGGGAACCGCCTGCAGCTTCCACGCTGAAGGGCGAAAGGCAGTTCTAATGTAGACATCATCTCTGCTAAACTGTTTCTTTCTCTTTTAATGGACTACCACGGAGATCTAAATGGAGATAAAATAGCAGGGCTCAGAGAACAGCCAGGATGCTATCTCTATGCAGCATGACAATGTGCAGTGGCTAATTAGACACCGTTAACCTATTTTAGCAGGGGACATAACTGGGATGAATGGGGGGAAATGTCCTTGAAACCTTCTAACGTCCGCAGCGGAGGAGAGCTCTAGACACGCTCGCACCCTGCACCGAGGCCGCTGTGCGAGCCCAGGCCTCCTTCCGCACCCCCGGGGGGGGCGAGGGCGGCCAACCCGGCTAAGGAACGGGGCAGCGATGACGGCGGCTCGTTAACACGCACACGGAGGCCGCCGGACAGGAACG